TTGAAGAGGAACAATTGCAGCTTTCATTTTCATAAACCTTTTATTAGGTAGCTTCTGCCCAAGGTTGACACATTGTGCTGAAAACCAGGCTCAAAACGCTCTGTGCTGTGTAATTTGATAACACTCATGTCAAGAGAAAACGAGGGTTTCACCTTGAGCTGGCTCATTCAGGTTGCTTTTCTTTCATTAAATGTGTTTATCATAGCATGTTATGAACAAAAATGTGTTCTTTTTATGAGAATAAATTATTGGATTATTTGCTACTGATTATAATAAAACAAAAAACAAGTTTGTCCTTGAGAATAACTACAAAAAGTACGCACTTTGGATTCATTAGGGAGATGTACAGCTGTCGGCTGATATTGAATGGTATTACGTTAAACTTTGAAATCTACTGGAAAGCTACGTAAAATTAGTGCCATAAAGGTCACTTCTAGTGACAAGAAGTATTTATCATTAGTTTCTGCATGCTGTTGGGGCACAAATAAATTTGAAATATTTTGAAATTAACAATGTATTTAATAACTTCTAGCTATTAGTATGTTTAACTTGATAGATCATAACACTAAAATAAACGATAGCATACTAGGTAATAACAGTTTGATGCTTCCCTTTTCTCAGCCTTGTTTTATTTTAAGTTAGATTAAACTAATACTTTTATGGAACTGTAGCTCAAAGTTTATTTTAAAAAGACATAAATTGCAGAGCAGTGGAAATAAGCCCAGATTGGTTTTACTATTATGACCAAGTTGCTACATCATTTTCACTGCATGGTTTTGAGAAGATTTTGATTACACTTCGTTGAAGGTCTTTTGAAACTAGGGTTTTATTTCAGCATTACTGGCCAAAGTGGAAATTTTACTTCTCCAAGACAATGTTTTGTGCGTCATAAATTAGTGGGGGTAAAAATACAGAAAATTGTATGTACTAGTACTGTTAATCAGAATGCCTTCCAGATACAAAGTTAACGTTACTGTTACTGTTGTTAAAGTAATGTTGCACGTTACTGCACAATGTCATGCTATAATACATATAGTGCAGTATTTGTAATACACTACAGTTTTCATTTTCAAGTAAATCAGACTCAAGTATTATTTTGTTGGTTAATATGGTCAAAAGTACTGGACCACACGGTACACCAACAGGAGCTGCTCAGCAGGGAAACACCTGCCATGAAGCTCCTGGCACACAGTTTCTG